TTTTTTTAAGCCCAAAAAAAAAAAATGATTTTTTGAAAATTTTACAGTGGTGTTACCCCTTAATATATATAATATATATTTAAAATATATTTAATATATATTTATATTGCAATATAATAAATATATTTTCTGATTTCTTTGTCAACATTCCATAATTCATTCATTTCCTACGATTTTTGCTTTGCGCACAATTACCCAACCCATGCGCACAATTATCTGACGCGCGAGAAATTTTTTCGCTTTTCCTTTTTTCCTTTTTGCTAAATACAACCTTATTGAATGAAAATCTGTTCAATATGAGGATACGTAATGGTAGAAAAAAACGTTTATAGTTTCTATTTCCATACTTATATCGCTTTGAACTTGGAAAACTATTCCAGAACAATAAATTTCCCTTAGATGCGCACAATTCACCCACTTTCCCCTATAGTCTCTCGTTTTAGTGTTTTTTTTTTCGAAACATATAATCATACAATAAGATACTAATAAAATATAATTACTCAAAAGCTTAATTTGCGAAATAAGCATAATTCGCGTATTTTTATATTTTTCATCAATGTTTATAGTTATTGCAATATGAGTGTATTTATCATCAATCCTGGCTTTTTCGAGAGTAATCAATTGATGCTTATATGCTTTTATTCTGGTAATATAGGAAGCTATTTGTGATTTTAAACTGCTTATTTCTTGTGATTTTTCGTCTTGTAAAGTTTTAATGAAATAATGCACATCTTCTAAATTACTCTCCAATTCTCTATTCCGTTCTCCTAAACTATTTAAAAAATTCAAAATTTAATATTAAAATAAAATATAGTTACTTTATTTGTGTTGTTGTAGAATGTTGAATATATAAATTAATACAACAGTTATTAGAATAATTTTTAATTAAATTAATACTTTTTCTTGTGTGCTAACTGTTTACTTCGTTAAGTGACTATATACATTTATAGAACTGTACAATAATACACACGCACACACGCACACAAATATCAGATAATAAAAATGTTTTTTTGTAAATACCTTTGAATTCTTTTATTAATTTCAGCAATTTTTAAATCGTAAAAACATTTTTGTGTGTTAACAATAATATTTTTCAATTTGGTTTCATCAAAATTGATGGGCTGAAGACGTTGTGGTAAACTGATATTGCCCTTGTCTTTTCCATATAAATTCATTTTTATTTGCCAAAAATTTTTGGTTATTAGTTCTCATGAAGAATAGAGACCAATTGCGGGATTCTCTCAATGTTTTATCGATAATTGTCGCTATTGTTAACCAGCGACAGCTAATGAGAGCTGCTCTTTCTTCCAGGATTGTACCGCCATTGGCTGTCGCTAGTTAACGATAGCGACAATCATCGATAAGACGTTTAGAGAATTCCGCTACAGGAGACCGAATTGGTCTTTCAGAAAATGCGACCAAAATCAAGTTTCTGAAATGGTATTGGTTGTGCTCAGTAGACGGCGTTCGAATCGCAAACAAAACATAGCGTTTTCGACCCGGCCGGGTTAGAGCTTTGACTATATAAGTAATAGAATTGAAATCGCTACGGGATTGGTTGATGACCATGTTGCAAGAATATGGCGCAACCAATGGCGCAACCGTATTTTATTCCTACTTACATAAGATAAAACGTAGCAAACATAAATCTAACTAAGTGAATATATGATATTCATTTCGCTAAATTTATGTTTGTCGCATCTTTGCAATGTTCACACATGTTACGTCGCGTTGCTATTGAAATTTTCTCCGTTTTTAGGTCAATGCATTTAAACAATTTACCCAGGGATCAGGGATCAAGTTGTGCAGTTAAGAATGTTCACTAGGAAGTATTGGATAGTTTAATAGCTGTGCTAATTTTTGGAAATAAGGGAAAGGATCGTGATTTGAAATGAGAACTGATTTTATTTGAAACCTTAATCTCCTCTCTTGCTGTCTTCGTCTGCCTTTAGTAGGCATCGAGGTAATACAAAAGAATTATCAATGTTCCGAAAAAGTGCTATAAGACGGGGGCCACGCCATTGGCAGCGACAGTCGCAGCAGCCCTTCGGATGTAAGGTGATTATAAATACTCCGAGGAAGTGGCGTAAGACGGGAGCCACGCTTATTGGCAGCAACAGTCATAACAACAACCTCGGATACTCGTATGTGTTTTTATATAATTGAATGGGACGCAGAGCAGATTAGAGATCCAGGTTTCAGCCGATTTGGTTTAGTATTCTCGTTTAATAAAATAATAAAATAACAGAACAATGGAAAGGAATACGAGTGAGTTTCTAACGGAACGCGAGGATAGTTCTCACCTTGATCTAACTGATTTCTGATTGTACTAGATGGATTTCTACTTCTATTGTGAATATGTTTCTACTTTTTATATTTTAGAAATGAATGGGGGAGCGTCCCTTTCGGACCAATCAACACTCATCAAGGTTTGGTAGAACCTATACTCGCGCTTGTTACTTGAGATAAGGCAGCACGGTTCCCTACTCCCCACTCTACGATTCTTAATAGATTTGGACTTTAGTCTTTAGATAGTCTAGATAATGGTTGAGAGTTTTAATAATTTATAATAAAAATTCGATCTTTCTTAACTAACATCCTTATGCGAGGCGAATCCACTACATTCCGAATCATATATCCAAAATTGGTTTAATTTTATTGAAAGCAAAAAGAAGGAAAAAAAAAAGAAGAAAAAGATATTCGTCCTCGCATTCAGGAAGATTTCTATTCTATTGTTAAACGCTAATGTAATATACTATTACCAATATAATATACGCTATTATTTATTACTTTATAGAAGCTTCTTTGAAAAAGATCGGGAGATATTCTTAGACATTCTTTAGAGTAGATAATATGTGTGACGCATAAAGGTATATAAACGTGATCTATCTGTTGGTTTGAACTAAACATGCCATTCAATGATAAAGAAATAAAGATAAAGTTTCAAAATAAAGATAAAATACCAAAGTAAAAATGAAATATTAACTAAGAATAGCATAAGATAACACACATTTATAATAGGAGAGAGAGAGAGATCTACCAGGATGTAACACATATGGTATATGATTTTATTTAGAGAATACACTTTATGATTTTATTTAGAGAATACTTTAGAGAATACACTTTTGATTTTATTTAGAAAATACTTGAGAATCTCTTGTTGGAGGCACAGACTTTTGCATATTGCATAACATATAATTAAAAATGTAAAAAACGATATTTTTTACTTCGGGAAAAATATCATAAAAAACTAAGTTTTTTTTACTGTAAATAACGGTACTTTTGATCAAATCGCATAAAATTCATGAAAAAAACAATTATTTTAATATAATTAATTGAATGACAGATATTTTATATTTAAAAGCTAAATAAGTGATATTATTAATACAGATAATACTTTATAAGCATAACAGATACTGTTTCGTTGCATATTGGTTATAATTGTACTCTATATTTTAATTATTTTGTATTCTATATTTTATTTATTTTGAGACAACATCCCAATATAATATTAATTCAAGAGTAATTAGAGATTCGATGAACGTTGTTTCACAAATTTAAATTTAGAATATGTACAACACACAGTATATGTATACAATCACAGTAAACGACAAAAAATGTCAATTAATCTAATAAAGTATTATTTGTATTAATAACAGTATGGAACATTACTTAACTTTTAAAATTGAAACACAGTATAAAACATCATTCAAATAATAATGAAAGGTAAGGTATATTTATAGCCATCGACATTAAACTCTATATTAATCATTATACTATATTTTAACTTTTTAACTATTTTTAGAATTTTCCGTCGTTTACATCTGTACACGTAATGCATAAGAAACTATACCAATCAAAGTCCTTAAGGACTTTGCATGTTATCTAGATTCATTTTCTTCCTTTCCGTAAAATAAAAGACTTTGAATTGATTTTTTTATATTTTATGCATTATGCGAAGATTGTGTTTAAACGTGAAAAAGAAAAAATATTCAGTTATGTCATGAAAATGTATTTAATAAAGTATATTATAAATTTAATGTATATTATAATTTGTATATAATATAATATTTTGATAAACTATTAGTATAGGTATAGGTATCTTCAGATACTATGCAGTTCGTTTCATTGGCTGCAAAGAATCTGAAGATAGTTTAATCTGAATTTCAAATAGTCTAATCTGAATAAATATAAGATTTGACTACGAATAGTGGTCTATAGGAAGTTGGTTGTTAAGTAAATGTAAGTATCATACCTCACAAATACAGCTGGAATCCATGGGTATTGTTACATCCCGATAAAATTATCCTCTTTATTATAAATATACGATTTATACATTATCTTTAGCCTATCTCTAGTTTAGTATTGCGTCTTAGTTTTTCCCTATTTTATCTTTATATTTCGAAACTATATCTTTTATGAGAGGGCTTACTTAGTTCCCTTTTTTTTTTTCAGCATCCAAACAAACAGACCGCTTACGCTCGCATACCTTCATGCGCCACAAGATAAAGAATAGCTATTTCACAATTTTTCTTTTGAGAGCCTTTATCTAAGAAATAGTTAAATAATAGCATATATGCCTAATAATTAAGTAGTATGGTAAAAATTAAGACCTTCCCGAACGCGAGGATGAATATCTTTTATTTTCCTTTTCACATTTTCTCTTATTTTTAATGAAATTAAAATCTATCTAAAAAAATTATGATATATGAAGTTATAATATATATTTTAAACCAATTTAAAATATATATTACTTAGAAAATGTTGTTACACTTCGACTCGCGTAGGGATATTAGTTAAGAAAGATCGAACTTTTATAAATTATTAAAACTCTCGTCTACTAAGATAAAACTAGACTCGTAGTGTCGGGAGTAGGATTTACGCGGAGTCCTGCTGCCTTATCTTAAGGAAACGAGCGCGAGTATAGGTTCTACCAAATCCTGAGGAGTACTGATTGGTCCTGAATGGACACTCCCACATTTATTTTCAAGTATAAAAGGAGCTGCCAAAAGCAAAAGCGCAGAGAGTAAAAGGTAGAAAACTATCCGGGAAGTAAGTAAGAACTATCCTTGCGCTCCTATTCGAAACTCACTCTTATGTTTTCTCATTGTTTTATTTTATTATTAAAAACCGAAAATATTAAACCAAATCGCCGAAGCCTAAATCTCTGTTCTGTTCAATTACATTCAATTATATAAGTATCCGAGGAGCTGTTGCGACTGTCGCTGCCGATAGCGTGGCCCCCGTCTAATATCGCTTCTTCGGAGAATTCATAAGTATCACGCATTCAGAGGGCTGTTAGGACTGTTGCTGCCAATAGCGTGGCCCCCGTCTGATATCGGCCATCCTCAAAGAATTCATAACTCGAATGATTATCGTGACTATCGCTGCCAATAAGCGTGGCCCCCGTCTTACGATACTCCTTCGTAGCATTTATTCTTTTGCATTACCTACATGCCTACGAAAGGCGGACGTAGACAACAGGAAAAGAGATTGAGGTTTCAAATCAAATCAGCTCTTAATTCAAACCAAGATCCTTTCCCCCATTTCCAAAAACTAGCGCAACTTCTAAATCGAAACGCATCGATAGATTCGTCTCCCGAAAACGTATATTCACTCCAACCTTTGGAGATCGATTTTTCGTTTCCTGACTATAAAGATATCCAAAAGAGCGATCCACGCAGACTCGCCTATAAGCTGCGAAATCTTCTGGGCACCGGATTCAAGATTTCCCTTCCAAATCATTATCCGATCCTTCCTACCGAACATCCCTGACCACACGACTTGATCTCCGATCCCCGGGTAAATTGCTTTAATGCATTGACCTTAAAAACGGAGAAAATCTCAATTGTGACGTAACAGTATCCAATTCGTTCGTGGAATATTTACAACCCATTGAGCCCTTCTGTCTGGATTTCTTGGGAAATGTTTCATAAGAAATTCCTTAGCCGCCGAATTTTTACAATTTGGCATGTAACAGCCTGGCATTGTTATTTTCTGGATATTATCTATAATTGTTTACTTATGTGTTATAAAGTTATGTACATTATAGAT